CAAGCAGCTGGAGAGAGAGAAAACAGATTCGTTCGTTGCGCTCGGTACAAGGTTGAGTCCTTTTCAATCTCACATAACAACCACGATTTTCATTGGATTCCTTATTTTTCGGTGAACATATAATTTGATATGTTTTTCGGCCGCCACATATGTACTACTGATTGAATGAGATGAGTAGGCGTATACCACTCATAATGACCAGTAGTGCTTACCAACCAGGTAGATCGTTTGGGGCTGATTTAGGGCCATCGGGCTGGCAAGCACTACTACTTGATACAGCTAGTCATTTCAGTCAATCAGCAGTACATAAGTTTAATCAATTTTGCTTGCTTTCTTGTTTACCATTAAGGGTATCAATGAAATTACAGACTGTGATCTGAATAATTTCGTTTCCAGAGTTAAGTGTAGTGAAAATTCCACCCCTGGAAGCGTGTTCATTACAAATTGCTAACCAGTTCACAGATTGTTAATTTGATTTATATTCCCAACAATTTTTCGGTCTGAAATGTCTACGAAGAAATTCTCATCTAGTTTTAGATGGCATCATTACATTAACTTACATTCCAGCTGTATGCAAATATGCATATTATGGTTCTGATAATCAGTCCCACAGAATGTACATTGAACAAATGACAAAGCAGAATTATGAGTGTTTATAGCAGACAGTTATTGAAGATGAGACTGTCTGGAATATACTCCACATGGTAGCTGCGCGAAATCCTCCCTCTTACTGAAGGGAAATCAGTCTGTTAGCTCAATAAATAGACTAATGGACTTGTAATTTTTAGGTAGCTGGTTCGAATTCATAATCCTTTCAATTTTTTTTTAATTGACTGGGTACACCAATGTATGCTTATGAAAATTTCTAAAAAACTTCATTAAATCTTGAATAAATGGGGGATCATATTTGGTTATTGTTAGCGCCATAAGTTAATTTTTTGTCAACAACATAAGTCGGGAAATGTTAGAAAACCTCATCGAGCTTACTTAGACTATATTTATTTTAAATTATCTTTACTTTTATAATCATTACTGTTGTACACACCAAAATCTTGTAACCTATACCCTTACACATCTATAAGCGTCATATGCTCTAGATTTTGGTTTAAAATAAATTAAATAAGAATTCAGTGTGTACTAAAATTTGAAATAAGAGGCAGAGGATATCAGACTTCAGATGAACATACAGAAGCCAGGGGTGATGGAGATCTCCAGCCAACAAACATCAATCACCGTAAAAGGGGGGGGGACCTAAAGAAAATCATTTATCTCTTTCACTTCTTTGAGCAGCATCGTTTCAACTACAAGTAGTATGGATGAAGAGGTTAAAGCCCAACGGAATCGAATCAAATGGGAATGCACGACAGGTGCTCAGATCTCTCAGCACCTGGAACAAAACCCGAATTTTCAACTCCAATGTCAGTTCACAGAGTTGATGCTTGCAATACCAAAAGTATTTTCAATACCACTCTTCGAACTTTCATCAATACCTACCATCACCCGATGATACCAAAGACCTGGTTCTATGAGGCAGCGAACCAAATGAGGACTTATCACTCAATTAATCCTCAGAAGGAGATAAAAATGGATTCAAAATGCATCAAGGAGACATTTAATTGATACAACATAATGGTCACGTTGTGGGGTGGAATCCAAATGTGAATCAGTGGATTGGTTGTGGGTGAGACGACGACTTTGTGTAGATCAAGTAGGGATGAAATGAAAGCTTATGTGCAGTTAAACAGCTAGCTGGAAGTGATGAATTGAGGATGGAGTTCGATGGAAGTGAGCTAATGGAGCCCTAACTTTCATTTGGAGGACAAGAAATGATTATTAAGAGTAATAATTTGCATCACTTTCACTTCCACTGCTGTTCTCAATTATTCCTGAGTAATTCACTGCTGAATATAGGAAAATACACTTTATTTTATTTCCCGTTAATTTTAGAATAGTAAAATTTGAATAAAAAATATGAGCCTTGTCTGTACATACAAGTTTGTTTTCATTATAATATATACGTCGTGATATTCCTGTATGTAGAATAGTGAATAAAGACACTTCAATGAAACCAGAATATAAGTCCCCTCAAATGAAAATTTGAGTTTTAGTACACACACTTATACTGTGCAAGATTTCATATTCTAATGTAATTTCTATGTAAAAAAAAGATGAATATTTTGGTTCTCGAAAATATAACTTACTTGGAAACTGTTTTTTACTATAACAACACTTAAGTATGCAAATTTTACAGTTTTCGGGAATATACTTGCTATCGAGAAAGGTCTCTTTGATTCGGCGGTGGAGGATGATGTAACAACTATGCGTTGTTCCGTGAACAACTACCTACCTCATTCGATAACCATGTTATGATGCCAAATGTCAATTCATCGAAGGTTTTGAAGAAATGACAACAGTAGGGCTAGGCTACATGCTATTACTTTTTATCGTCGTGACTGCGATAACTTGGATAATGCGTTGGACTGTGCGTGGGGAGAAAGAAGATAGGTATACGTCAGACCGAGAAAAAAACCAAAGAAGATATGGTTTCACAGGTGATCTATATCTCAAGTCACACAGACTCAAAGATATGTAAGCAGAAACTAGCAAGTTGACAGAAGAGACAGAGAAGACAGATCGTCAGGTGAACATAGAGAAGACAGAGGTGAATAAGATACCCAAACGCCAACAAAACAGCAAACACTATCAAAAGGAGAAAGCAAATGGAGTCATCCCTTCCACCTACCTGACCTAGGCAGCAGCGTTTCAACTACAGTTAAGCAACACAGATGAGGATGTCAAATCCAGCTAGCCAGAAGTAGTTTGGTAAACTAATAGAGACGTTCAATGCGCTGAAATCACTGTAAACATCTACGAAAGGGATAAATACCTTAATTTTCAACACTAATACTAAGACTGTGATTATATATCTGTGAGACATTGACCTGCGCGTCACCAAACCATTCCTGATGAACCTCAGTATTTCAATTGAAGGGCAAAGGATGAATCATAATACTTATAAAATTTAAAGAACAAACTAAACTGACAGACAACGCCTATCAGTAACTTAGGCTTTTTAAAGAGCTTTTAATGTCTAGTTACAGCCAAGACCTTTCTGAGAAGTAATAACTGTTTATCCGACAGTCAGCTCTGAAGATTCTCAAGAAACAGATTCAAAAATGTGATTCAAAATGTGACACTACCTAAGGAGTACTTAACATTCATTGGAGAGAGGTGACAGTGATCCTATCAGAAGTGCAGTAAATGAGCTCCTCTTCTCCTCTGAACCACCATAGCCCTATTCTCATATGCATAAAGAAACGGGATTCGTGTATGCCTCAGAAGTTCGCACAATCTCTAAATCTATTTCCTACTTCGCTATTTGTTTTCTCATATTTCTCTTTAACTAATATTTCCATTTGTATTTTCAGAAACAATACTTCATTCTTATTTTATTTCCAAACACACTTTGGTCACCCCATATTTTCGAAAATTGTCTTACATGTTGCTTTGTCATGTTTGAAAGTCTGTATAATTTTTCGGTTTGCTTTCTCTTTTGTGATAAGTTTTCGTCTTTCGTGTCACTTAAAAACTGCATTAACTCCATTTATGCCGGTCAATAAATAATATGTGCAAATATTCCCTTTTATAGGTCAATATTGTATAAAATGGCGATTGCTCATCTATGAAAAATTGGAACTGCCTAGGAGATTTCTTCACTGAACTTCTTGTTTTTCTCTAATTTCTCAACCTACTGTTCTCTGCTCCGTGTAAATTGTACTCACTTGATAATCAGATGTTCACTGAATACATTGCCAACTGCAAGTTCGAAAACTACGACTATTACTGATTATCGATATTCTATTCCAGTAACGCTGGCAACGTTAACCGAAACCTTCTAATCAAGATTAAATTACATCACAATGTAGTGATTATTAAAGTACCAAGTTTATTGATTTGTGATGAGAAACGCGAATGACTGAGGATGCATGCGGGCGGAGAAACTTTAATACTTAAATATTCTGCAATCTATGTCTTGCCGTTTTAGGGTGATATAAATACATATATATGTTTCTTCAAGAGTTGGTTTGCAGGGGTTTGATCGATTTCAAGATTTGGAAAGCAACTGAAAACTAGGTACCACCGAAAAAGTGTTTCGTTCTAGTTTGAGTCTCTTCATCATTACGCCTCCATTAACCCACCAGGGGTCGATCCCGGTATCTGTAAAGCAACATCTGAAAATTAATCTAGCGCTCACTAGTGGCTGCCTACAGGGTGAAGATTTCTGACGTTCTAGTGACAAATCGTGGTCAGCTTTATGCACCAAGTTGGGTGTGTGAACGAATACTCACCGGTGACATTGACTGATGGTTGCGCGTTTTGTTACTAATAGGTGGTGGTTAGAACTGATGAACTACTGGTTTCCATTTCAGTGGCTAGATGGTCAACGAAATTGCCTTATAGCTTGATGGTCCTGGGTTCCATCCTCAGTGGGGGCATGGGTACATGCTGTTGAAGAGCCCTAAATCATGGCGAAACGGTAGTCCAATATGCTCTGGTTCCAATGATGCTCGAAGTTAAGTTAGTCTAGCATCGATCTCTTTCATAATTTTTAAGTACAATGCGGATTTAAATATTAACCCTAGCCCAGTAATATAAAGGTAGTATTCATTTGTCCCGCCAATGAGCGCCATATTTATATGTTCAAAATGAATGTATATTTTGATGTGTAAATTAAACACTAACCAAAACTAACAAACTCTGTTCATAAAATATTTTTACGGCTTATAAAATGGTGTTAATTTAATCGCAGATACAAGAAACAAAGCATCTCGCCCACTCAAATAAAAATGCATTGGTTGAAGACAAGACAGATAGATTCGTTTCTATGACACGTGAAAAAAAAACAGGCAGACACATACACGTATATACAAACTGCATATATATATATATATATATATCATAGGTTTACATACATACAGCAAAACTAAAACTATACGCACCGAATTTTTATTCGGAATTAAGTATCCTGTCCATAAGGAACAGGAATCAACACCAATCATTCTTCATCGTTTGTTTGACCTACAATTACTAGTCCTGATGACGGAATTTAGATTACAACAGCATAACAAATGAGTCAGCTGTTTATATATATATATATATTTCAGCAAGCATAATTTGATTACAGGTGATTACCACTTTGTGATTTCGATGTACAGACACACGATTAATGAAACATTGAACAATTACATAAATTATTAAGAAAATGAACTTTGTATTAGTAACACACTTATTGTCGGATCCACTTGATATTGTCTGCCATGTGTCTGTATGTAGGATAAGTGAAAGGGATTTCCTGCAACATGATGATAACAAGTGATCTATCAGTGCTACACTGTACATCAAACACAGACACGCACAACTATTTATCATAGATATAAATGTGTACAATGAATATATTAACAATCAAAGTGGTTATAATAACAATAATGCTAACACAGATTAAAATGTCGAAAAGTTTTCATCCACATTGCTAAATACTACTACTACTTCTACTGCTACAAGAATAGCAACATCATTACCGTCAAAACTGTCAGCAACAAGAAACTAACCGTGGCTACTTCCAATAAAAAAAAGAAATCACTTTGGTAAGTTTTTGTAAGCAGTTTTCGAAATGATATTTTCCATATTTATCGTTTGGGCCAAACATTGTTTTTTTTTATTTTCCCGGTGAATTTGAGTACATAAATACTTCTGTAAAAAAAGACAACATTTAAATTACTAAGGGGGCAAAATTATCATTATCACTAACGCGTATATTGTAACGACTTTGTACAGTCGAATCCCAAGTTCAAGTAATGTAGTGATTTTACTTAATTAGATCACAAAGTATAGTAGCATGATGAGAAAATTACTTGTTCACGATTATCAACTCAAAGAAAGTTCTGAACACGATATTGATTTAGACTCATCTCCTTCTAAAGTGAGTATCAAAACACAGTAGTAGCAGTAGGAATATTCCGCTACATATTGTTTTAAGGTTTTTAAGCCGCCATGTGTTACCTTTGTTACCAAATCCCGAATCTCAAGGAAACGTGATTTTTGAAGTCACGCAGCTGCCTGGCTGATACTAAACAGTTGATTACAATCTGAAAATATTTATTCACTTTTATCATTCAATGTGACCAACAAGCAGAAGATGCAATACAAAACAGTCCAGCATAAATGCTGTTGGAAATTGGAACTTCTATTTTAATTTGTAATCAGTTGCAGAGCGTGGTTTCATTTTACTGATGAAAATAAATGCTCAGAGAAAATCTTTTTCTCTTTGAATGGAGCTAGATAAGAAAGAAATATAAGATACACACTTAAAATCTGACAATGAAAGGAATATAAACAAGTTTATAAATAAAACAGAGGGATAAAAAGTGACAAAAGACGAAATCAAACCACTTTTTCTAGCTTTTATTGACTGAATGTTTAAATTTTATGTTCGTGAAGCCAGCAAAAATATCGTTTCTTTGTTTTATCGTCTAATATTAAGTGGACCATAGACAATGAGTTGTTATTGACGTCGTATTTATGATCCTTGTGTATCAGTGGTACAGAGGTAGAATGCTCACTAAGCCCGCAAGTGGTCGGGGGTTCGATCCCCGGTTGACGCGCTCCTTTGCCTCACTAAGCCAGTAATAAGACTAGTAAAGAGGGAAGGTTGGGCATGAGACCAGCAACCCCATCCGGTAAAAGTAAACACCACTGCTACTGGAACTTCACGCCTCTAGCTTGAAGCCCTATGTCCCATTGGGAACGTGATGGAAAAAAAATTTATGATCCAAAGGTATTGCTGCTTTAGAAAACATTAGATAAATTTAACACGAATTTGTAAATCCAGATTTAAAAGGTTGGTGAAAACAGAATTTTAAATACCTCTTGCATGAACACCGCTTAATTACTGGCAAAAAGTAAACTTTGATCACTATAAATTTTCTGCTACCAGGAAAAAATAGTTCCTTAATCCAGGTTCTTTATCTTACTTCAAAGATTACCTCACCCCGCTAACACTGATCTCTCAAACTAGGGACATTTGAGCTGGAATCATCATAAATGTGAGCTGTGTTCTCATCTTTCTTTTAACTACGTAACTTGTAACTTGGTCTTTTGTTCTATTACTGAACCAATTTATTTCCTGTTTTGAATCATTGATACTACATACTTTTACTATAGACATGGCTATAAATAAGCTTCAAGCATTCATTGCCATTACAGCTGAAATGCTGGTTATCCGTTTCATCGGTTTAGCTGAAGACTGAAATTTCAACAGCCAACAGCCTAAATAATGCATGTTTTAAGCTTTTCTGTTCACTGAATTTTAGTTACAATTGATAAATTATGGAGATGTTGCCATAGCATGAGTTCTATTTGTTATTACAGAAAATGATCCGAAAAAGTTCATCTTCCTACGTATAATGACCGAAAAGAAACTATAACTAACCAGTCAGCATATTTGACATACATCCATAAATAATAATAATAATAAATTGTAAGAAGCTGTATTATTTCTCTTCAGATTACCTTACTAGAAGGGCAGGGAGATTTTATTGCAAAATAACAATTGTAGTGGCAGCTATTCTGACATTTAATTAATGTTTTTCATAGAGACCGCAGACAAATGCCAGTTCTGTTGACTCATTTTTCTCCATTTTAATGCAATAATCAGAGGAATATTTTAGTGATGTCTATAGCATAAAATTTGATGAATCCACATGTGTTTGATAAGTTTATTTTAAATATCACACAGTGGTGCAGTATTAACAAATGGATGATGTTTCGAGTATAAATTATTGCTCATAATCATATCACTGTGTGATATTTATGATAAACTTATCTAATATAGAACTGTATCCTACCACAGTGCCCACATTCTACACTTACATATGTGTTTGACTTATAATGCACATCTAGCCTAATTTTCACTGAGTACCTTATACAAATGAACCCACTCCACGTCTTTCAGATTGAAATGACGAAACTTTTTGGGAGGTGGTAGCATGAATTTAGCCGCGAATGGCTTCATAAATTCATGCTGATATCAACTTATTTCAAGTTTATAAGAACAACAAAGTTCAGCGAAGAGTCTCTTTTCGGCAGCGAATTCATTCACTTAACTGTACAATCGCATTTATGTATAATTATTTTGTGTTTATGTGTACATTAGGATTACCAAATAAAAATTAGTTAAGGTTACTTTTTAGATCATCAAAATGTTTCTTAAATGTTAAGAATAATCAAAATTGAAACTAAGGGGGGGTGAAGATCAGTAAGCATTGGCAAGTGTTGCGTAATATGAAATAGTATGATAATGGAGACATGTGTCCAAAAATAAATTATGTGATAGGTTGAAAGAGTAAATAAAGGGTTGATATGAACTGTGATCAAGATTTGACCGAATAGGTGCAAAATAATTGGGCGCCGAGTGAGAAGTAGACATTTATAAAAAATTATATATGTAAAATCTCAGCGAAAATGAAAGGATTAATTCCAACGTTTCCTTCGGCAATCTGGTCCGAACTTCCTCAGGGAAATTAATCTAAATTAACACAACAGAGGTTTATATATAAAAGGACATCTGTTGTTTTTAAAAACTTTGTCCAATCATATGTATCATGAAACAGGTATTAACATGGATAATAAGCAAAATTGTATGAACTGTGATCAAAATTTTGTTAAAATATATGTGTATATGCAGTATGCAGTCGGGTGTGTGTATGTGTGTTTGGGTGAACAGTCATAAAACATTTGTTAGCCTGTCCATAACAAGATGTAGACAATCGGGAATTTTGACCAAGTATGATTAATTGTTGATACATATCCAATTTTTATTTATTAGTCAAGATTTGCCATGCATCAGCTAACATCGCAACTTCACGTCTGTTCAAACTGTTGGGATTCACCCATATATGTAGGGCTTCTGCAGTCAGTCGTTCTTTATACGAACCAAAACCTTTCTGTAGAACCTTAGTCTTATCAAAGTTGATTTTGTGTCCCATTTCTATTGAATTCAGTGCAATCGCTGAGTTGTTTTCTAGCTTCTTCAAGTCTGGAGAGGTCTTTGGAACCACCTTTAGACATTGTTTATGCTCTTTCACTCTTATATTTACCTGTCTGGAAGTTTCTCCTACATATACGGCGTGGGTTAAGAAGAAAATGTTACTAAGATGCCATACAAAAATTCGGAAAACAAAAAAGAAAACAGAACATTATTTACAAAGTCATAGAACCTGGGATCATACCCAAGATAGAAGGAGGGAGTGGAAAAGTTTCTTCTGTATGAATACCTTCGACAACTTAGGGACCCAAACTTTTGGCTGTTTAAAGTGCATATCCACAATACCTGACATTCATCTATCATTGCAAGCCTCAGTGTAATGGAAAAGTATAAATTAGGCATTATTAAAGAAAATTCTAGGACCTAAAGTCTAACTTTTAGTTATATAGAAACGTTGCTTATATTGATGCGGATTTTATCCTAAACTGACTGGTTTCACGAAGTTATAGTAAAAATTTATAACTAATGAGCTTCTCCAGTGCCGAGATTACGACAACAGATACTAAATGAACATACTGGGAGACAGTGGTGCTATAAAGTTAGTAGAATGACTTTGGCCTCGTAAACTGGAGGTGCACACTGATGAAAAGTTCCAAAACGGGACGAAACAGCTGTCCACTGATTCCTGCTTTTCAGCCGTGTCATTGAATTATGTTGGTTTTTCACAGAATCTAACAAGTGGAATTAAATTAATCCGAGTCCCTACGAATTCTATCATCTGAATCAGAATATGACCAATGTGTAAGCTGTCGATTCCAGGTAGGCCGGTGATTCCTTACTGTTTCATAATTCAAAATCAGAAAGAGATGTATAAATGTCAGTTTTCAGTAGTTTGTATTATTACGAATTGGTTTAGTTGTACGTCTTTGTCTTGTTCAGTTTTTCCAACATGCAATGTTACGCATTCTGATAGACTTGGAGATGGATTATTAGGATAGTTCAATAATTTTTCAAAAAGAAAGAATTGTCGTAGAGTCACACCCATTCAGTTTTCCAACAAAATCTTGTATCCACATGATTAATACTCATCTCATATTCACAAGTTGTCTATGAAACTCATTGGATTCATAATTAGGCAAATGAACATTGTAGCTAAAGAAGTTAGTTTCATTATTCAGGGAAAATTTTCTTCAGTATTATGGAACATCTCTTCACACCTACATAATAAGTCTCCTCTATCAAGGATATTAAGAGTAGAATTTGGGGAACATGACAGAAGATAATTCCCTATTAGATACATTTAGTTCATATAATGCGTGGTAATGAAGTACTAACAACTGGAAGACGTTTCGAGTATAATTTGTCGCTCATAGTCTATCAGTTTATTCCCACAGCTTCAAAATTTGCTTTATATATTTCCCTCCCCTTAGTTATATATTACAACTTTCTGTTTGTCAGGTTTACGCATTTTGTCACTTAGATTGCACGTGTTTGGTATTGATTCAATAGAAAAAGATCCAGCGATTAACCTCTCTCTACGCCTAACTACATTACCTTCTAATGCCTTTACTCTGTCACACTCTATTGTGTGATTACATCTAG